CTTCACGATGCCGTACGAGCCGCTCGGGGCACCCGGAGGAGGAGGAGGAGGCGGAGGCGGAGGCGGAGGAGGACGGCGGGGCAGGGCGAGAGCGGGCGGCGGGCGGGCGGCACAGCACGATGTGGCAGCTCTCGCTCGCGATGCCGGACGAGGCGGCGGCGCGCGCGCTGTGCGGCGGCGGCGGCGAGGCGCTGCTGCCCGAGGTGGTGCGGCGGTGCAGCTCGTGGCACGCGCCGGTGGGGGAGATGCTCGCCGAGACTGCCGCGGGCAGTGTGTGGGGCACGCCGCTCTGCGACCGCGCGCCGATGCCCCACCGCAGCAAGCAGGCGGGCAGGGCGAGGGGTGGCGGGGCGCAGGCGGGAGAGGCGCAGCCTTCGCCGTGGGCGTCGCGGGTGACTCTGCTCGGCGATGCTGCGCACGCGATGACGCCGGTGAGAAGAGAGAAGAGAGTCGGAGACGGAGACGGAGAAGAAGGAGAGCTGACCGCTGCGTGTTCGCCCCCCGCAGTTCAAGGGCCAGGGCGCCAACCAGACGCTCGTCGACGCGGCGCTGCTCGGCAACCTCCTCGCGGCCGCCCTCGCGGGCCGAGGCGAGGGGGGCACTGCCTCGGCGCTGGCGCGGTACGAGCGCGAGATGTGCGACAAGGCGGAGCCAAAGGTGGCCGCCTCGCGCCGCGCCGCGCTCCTCTACCACTCGGCGGCCGCGCTGGAGCCGGGGTCGTACGGCGTGAGCGGCGTGCCCGCCGAGGAGGCGGCGGCCCTGCTCGCCGAGCTGTCCCGGCGCGGCGTCACGGCGAGCGACGCGGGAGCGCTGGAGGCGCGAGCCGTGGCCGCGTGGAGTGAGTCGTCGTCTTGACAGTCCGGAGATTCGTTCTTTTGTCTAGCTTGTAGCTAGCGCCAACCGCGGCGCTTTACACAACAGAGCTCCAAGAGCGCGATGCGCATGTGACATGTGTGTCGCACTCTCATAGTGCACTCTCGCACAGCAGGCGGCCGCCAGCGCACGAGCGCCAGCTGCGCCGCCCCCGCCCCGCCACGTGCCGCGCCACGCGCGACGCGGACGCGCCAGCGGCCAGGGCGCCGCACAGTCTCAGCGGTGCGCGTGGGGACCTCAGTCGCGTCACGAGAGGACACGTCACTTGCGCGCGGAGCGCGGAAGGAGGAGACAGTGCCCGCGCGGGGGTGCGGCGTACGTGCGCGCGCGGCGGGGGGCTGGGGCTCAGCTTTCCTGACGACATGTATGCGAAAAGCGCTTGATTGATGTGTGGCGCCGCGCGCCGCCCCACACACTCT